GTTTGACTCTTTCACGCAACAGGAACTGGTCTGTAAGTAAGGCAGCGACTAAGTTGGTTTTCCGTTCCTTTCCTTTCTGTTCTGCTCTTTTTTCTTTAGACCTGTAAGGCTGGGTCGTCAAATTAAACCCTCTTGTCACGTGTCAAGACTTGACGCTGCGCCACTTGCGCCTCTTGCGGCTGAAATCTTGGATGCCCATGGCGCAGGGGCCAGCGTCTCGTTCACTGAACACTCCAAATCGCTTCGGCCCAGCAAAGTCTTCACGACCATCGGTTCTCCAGAGACCTGACCGAAAGGGGCATCGGACAAATCCATCAGATCTCCAGCGCCATGGGCGTTCTGGATGCTACCAGTAGTTTTGCCCTTTGTTGTTAGTAGCGATGCCCTTTGTTCCTAGTAAGGCCAGGAGCACCTAATAGCTTCCTTGCTCCTAGTAGCGATGCCCTTGTTAGTAGTCACGATGCCCTTGTTACTAGCAATTGGTAAGGCCAGGAGCTACTAGTAGCGTCCGATCGCTCCTAGTAGCGTTTAAATTTGTTGTGTTGTGTGGCCAAGGAAGCTTCTCTCGCCTTCCCGTGCAACATGTAATTCTTCCCCCCGAATGTAATCTTCCAATCTGAGGATTGTTGAAGACCATCGCTACTGAGGCCATTGCTATTAGGGTGGAGGCTATCGCTAGAAGGTTAAGCCCCTTTGTTGATGCCACTGCTTTATGATGCCGAATGCCATTCCCAGAACGCCCCGCTGTTCTCCCAACCTGTCGCAAAGAACACTTGTCTACCACCAAGAGCTTTCCATGAAGCCATGCTACCTCACTTGAACTGAGGCATGGTGAAACTCATGGCGTGGTGAAACTCATAGTTCGTTCGCTGCGGGGTCAAAGTGGCTCATGACACGCGTGCAAATGCTCCAGATTGTTCCACAAAGGGCTAACATCAAGCTTAGGAACAAGAAGCTACTACGTAGGAGCAAAGGGCATCGCTACTAGGAACAGGAACGCTACTAGGGGCTCCTGGCCATACTACTACAGGAACGCTACGAAGTCTGAATTTCTTCATCTCTGGCGAAGTGCATGAAGTGGCTCCAGAACAGATGCGTGCTCTATGGGGCCATCGGTCCCATCACCTGGCGAAACGTGCCGTTCTAATAGCAACGGCCTCCAACCTAGTAGCGATGGCCTCCAGCATAAGAGCGATGGCCTGTCTCTAAATAAAAATCTTGTGCTAGTGCCTAGGGCCTAGTGCTTGCCTGTTTGGCCTATTTGGCCTGTCTCCGAAAACATGTTGTTGCCGTGTTTGGCCGGTTGGCCTGCCGTCAGCAGTTCCTCAACTTCACTGAGGCGGAGGTTGACACTGTCCTGATTCAACCTCAACTTCACCACTGAGCGGTTCCTCAGGGAAGGCGATCAAGGACAATCCATAAGGTTCTCGAACAATATCAAATGGCGCATCACATCAGACGCGTCGCCGCCGACAAGATTCGTGATCATTATTGGAATCATGTCACTACGTCATGAAACACGACAAACATATAGTCTTGTACTCGTTTAGATGTCTGCCTCCTGGCTCTGCCGAACTTTACTTGGTCCGGAAGCCATCGCTCTTAGGTTGGAGGCCATTGCTATTAGTTTGCTAGGTTATATTGTATTTCACAACTGATGTCCTTGGCACCACACCAAAGATTTCGGCGTGTTGAACAGAGTCGGCCGGGAAAGCCACTGCCAACGAAGCCAAATACTCATCCTCCTCTACACAATCAGGCTGTCCCCAACACAGAAATCAGTCCCACGTCTGAGGGTCGGAAGGCTGCTGCTTGTTAATGTAAAGCTATTATATAAAGAGCTGTGTGTACCTTTTGGTTTGGAGAGCAGTCCTTGAATTTTTGCAGCATGCTCCTCGGTGCCTGGGCTGTCTTCGATTCTTTCTGTGCCATGCCATGCCGAAAGCTGGTGTGACATGTGACATGGCTGGAGCTTTGCCGCAAAAGATACGCCGTGCGTTGCGAGGCTAATGGCCACCAGATTTGCTCGCGATGATCGCAAGAGAAGATGGTCTATACACGCCAAAGCTTTGGCAGGCACAGTTTCTTGGAAGCTGGTCACCTGAGCGGAAGCCCAGCCACAAAGCCAAAAAAAAAGAAAGTCTGAACACATTCGGCGTGTGGATGTGCTTTATGTCTGACTTTGTTAGTAGCTTCACGATGCATTCATTGCAGTCTATCAAGTTCTGCAGGAAGTCTTTCTGTTCATGCACACATTTGTGGGAGTTTCATCCCTGCCTTAACGGACTCCTTAAGAGCCAAGTTGTATTCATAGATGGTCAGCACACCACCATCCCTCGAGAGCGTCTCGTAGAAAATGCTGCTTCGATGATGGCAAAGATGGAAGGAAGTCAGTTCCTGGACATTCGATGCTTTTAAAAGTGAAGACTAGGAAAGCCTGGGCCCAAGGCCCGTCGAAAGCATGCTTCAAAGCACGTGCTCCTTAATTCCTTTCACTCGAGGGATAGGCCGCTACAAGCAAAAAACATGTAGACTAGAAGCTAAAAGTAGAGAAGCTAGTAGACAAGTTAGTAGACATGTTCTTACATCCTGGAACGCAGAAGGGGTCTTCAAGGAAGCGGTCTGCGGAGGGCAGGGCTGAGTTTCCGTAAAGAACCTTTCTCGTTATTGATGTGGCTCCGCGAAACGTTAATTGTAGACGAGTCGTCTAACTTGTTCTTATCTATAAAGAAACTTACTATTTGTGTGCCAATTTCTGTATTCTTTTGATTCTGGTTAGAATATGTTAGAATGGTCAGAAGCTGCTATTTCTGGGGCATAGCGTAGCTCGATCAAGTTCCGATCCATACCCTTTGAATTGAGTATTGGACATTGGACAAGCGTGATTGAAGCACTTAGGTGATTCCAAACCAAATCAAGTCACAGCATCATGAAGCTCCACTACTGGAGTCAAGAGCCCATCGTGGAGTGTTGAGATACCGGAGTCTGTGGCAAAGAAGACAGTCTCAACCTCAGTTGAGAACCACAGCTGCCACTCAATCAACGTAGCTTGGTTGGGCTATTGGAAGCGGACTTTTAAAGTGACCCTTTCGAGGGATCCCCCAAGCGATTGGTAAATGTCCGGATCATTCCAACACAAAGAAAAGGATTTAAAGTATATATATAGCATATATGATGGATGGTAAGGTCTCGTTAAGCGGGCCACCTTCTTCTGTTTCTATTTGCCTTCTTTGACCAAGCGAAGAAGCATTCACCAAGCCGACGCTCTTGACTTCCACCTCATGGAGTCCATGGGGTCGATAAAAGTTCGCGCTCCAGCTTGGCAGGTACTCTCGATGAGCCAGAACCTCAGAATGTTATTCCTTCATTCCTTCATATTCCTTCCTTTTGGTCATCTCTTCCATTTGTAAAGAAAAGACATCCTAGGATCCTGATGAGAAGGTCATGAAGCATGGAGAGACCTGTAGAAATCGGTGGACAAAAGGAGGTATCTGGAGATGCAATCCGTGGAACGAGAGGCAAGAAGAGCGCGTACGTGCTGCAGCCTGAGACTCGATACTATGAGAAGCTTGATTGGATGGCTCTCGGAAATATGCGGCGCAACAAAAGCTAGCAGCGAACGTACAAATATGCTAAAATGTCATCTGGCCGCGCCTCCAACAGGGAAAAGTCTCATGGCTTGGGATAAGAAGGGTCACTTTAAAGAGTGTAAACAAACAAAGTAAACGTGTCCACTGAGCCAGAAGTAAGGACAGGCTTTGTCTGCAGGGTGAAGACCAAGCTGTGTTGGTTGCCGTCAGCTTGACTGCTTTGGGACCTGTTCACATGATCTCAGAAATACAACGCAATTGCTGTGCATGTGAGGGCTGGTTCATACAACAAAAATGAGCCCGGGCAATTCAAGGTGAATTCAGAGCTGCTCTGTGGCAGTCCTCTTTTGTGCCAAAAGAAGTCCGAGCAGAAAGAGCACAAAACGCGACGAAACGAATAAACGAACACGGCCCGTTGCAACTCCGCAATCTCGAAACAAGAATGTTCATCTCGTGGTCAGTTCTTTTTCTTGCTATTTCTATATTGTTGTTGCTTATTTGTGTGTCCTAGGCCTTGTCTAAAAAGCAAATTACAGTAGATAAGATAGATAAACATGATAAATACAACAATGTAAATGGTAAATCACTATAGAGCTAAGAGGTAAGTGAGTAATTCAGTAAGTAAGGAAGGAAGGAAGTAAAGGGGTATGTAAGAGTCTTGGTATAGCTCTTTTCCGTAGGTAATGCTACTAAGCACCAAGACGCACTCCCTTCAGAACTTGAATTGGAAGATCCCTTCCTTAACACGTCTCAAGTTTCCCTTTCTCACTCTGAAACCGTTCTTTCTTTCCTTTTGTGTTCCTTCCTGTCTTTTCCTGTCCGTTCCTTTCCTTTGAACGTTCCTTTGTAAACATTGTTTATATAAATCTTTCTATTACAGGTGTTTTTGATATATAATGCAGCAGGTCTAGCAGGTCTTTGCTCCAGTTAGCTGCACTTTGCTGGAATGTGGCGAAAGCTGAGAAAACTTGCACCTTGGAACGCACGAAATGGCAAAGCCCATTGGGTGCACCCGGTCACCTAGGTTCAACAAATTCAGATCCTGAGGCACGGCTGTCATAGATTCTACCGAAGAACCGGCGATGCTGAACTTTCATGCACCCTGCAACCCCCTCTTGCCACAATCCTTGTACAAAAAAATACTTTAAGGGACCTATATAATAGCAATGGCCTCAAACCCACTAGCGATGGCTTCCAACCTAACAGCAATGGCCTCCATCCTAATAGCAATGGCCTCCACCTGCAACTGACCTCTCTTGCCATCCCTTGAACAACTCGAGCTCAGCTCAGTACTCGCAAAGGTATGTGGCGGCAGAGAGACCGCGCCATGATGAGAGCCAAGCTTGGCTGCAAGAAAAAGCTTCATTGCTTCCCACACGTTGAGAAATCATTCTGCAATCGTTCAGATCCGTTGGTCGATCATGGCGACCGCTGGTTTCCCAATATGGAGAACATGGAACATGAAAACCGTTCTTTGCACGGAAGACGCTGCACGTTCTCACTCCAAAAGGGTCACCACCTGGTCCACAGATGTTGTTAGTCACACTCTAGGAGCAAGGACGCTACTAGCTCCCGGCCTTACTACTAGTAACAAAGGGCATCGCTACTAGGAGCAAGGACGCTACTAGTAGCTAGGGCATCGCTACTAGTAACAGTGGCTTCTTGTTACTAGTAGTAATGCACTTGTTACTAGTAGAGATGCACTTGCCATTGTGTATATTATGGTAGTCTGTGGCCTGACTGCTTTGTCTCTGGCCTGGTCGAATCCACGATTTCGGGCTAAATCCAAAGCGGTCTTTCCCAAGTAGTCCTAGCAAGCAATCCGATCGATGCGTGCACTTGTTCTGCTCAAGCAAACACTTTCTCTAATTATCCTGTGGCTACAAATCAGTTCGGCCTCTCTCCAAGAATCCCTTAACTGCTTGCACTTGACAGTCCTTCGCATCTATATCTGCACCCATGGAACACAGCTCCTTGACCTGGCATACAGTTTCATAGGAGGCTTGTAAACTAACTCTGCCCACTATCATCGCTATTAGGTTGGAGGCCGTTGGAGGCCATCGCTATTAGGTTATTGGCTGGAGACGAAAAGCTTGACGAGCACAAGCTTCAACCTTCCAGCAAGTTGACCGATTCAACTATGCGGAGCCACTGTTTGCAGGAACCCATTGTGAGCTGCAGCATGCAAGGGGGTTCTTTGGGTAATGGAAGATGGTTCCTTAGGGCGCATATCCAAATCAGAGTATGAATAGACAAAGGAACACAGGTGCTTTACTCAAGCCGCTAAGCCTGTGTCAATGACACCAAAAAGGCTTCAAGAAAGACTGAGGCTTCTGCATTGACATATTGCTCAAGCACTCCAGCCTTCAGGCATCATGAGACGACTTGCTGCCCACCTCCGTTCCATGCGAAATGGCCTTCTTCAAGTAGCGGGCAAGTGCTTTCAATGGGCGATGTTGGCCCTGCACCGCTTGAAGAATCTTCCAGTAAGTATCTGTGTTTTTCTTCCTGTATATACCCGGCAGAAGACTTCTGGCAAGAACGCTCTCCACTACGAACGCTTTTCTAAAGGCGACTGGTCTCGGAATGCCTTTCAGAACACTATATACTTTGTTCCCTTCTGGTTTCTTCAGTCTCTTTGGGGCTGGAATTCGCCTGACTAGCAAATTTGTAGAAAGCCGAGCAATTGCAAAGCCTGGGCTGAGCATGGCTGAGCACAAAGTGGGCAAAGGCAAAAAGTCGTGCTCTTCGCAGAAGAATGCTTATTCTTAGTGCTTTGAACCTTGAAGTCTTGCTAGTAGGTTGGAGGCCATAGCTCTTAGGTTGGAGGCCATTGCAGTGAGCTTTGCTCATAGTGCTCATTCTTAGTGCTTTGAACCTTCGATGTGACCAAGGAATCAGTTGAGAGTTTGGCGAGTTCCGGTGCTCAATATCTGCACCCTCACGCACCAAATAGTCAACTGCCTCCAACTCAGCTTGAATATAACCACTCTCAATGCAAGCTCAGACCCATGTAACAAGCACATAAATGCAAATAGATAGCTCTTCGGCAGGTGTTGTTAGTTCTTTCTTTCGACACAATGAACATGTGCCTCTCCAGACACTGCCCAAAACAAGGGCGTTTCACCTCAGAACATATCAAGACATATCGAGACTGTAGAACTGTGACAAGCCCAGGAGAGTTGTCTTCACCAAACTGCTTCTTTTGGTCTTCAACGTGCTCCCCAAGACCCTGACCCATGCAATCTAAGACATTCACATCACTTCCTGCAAGGAAAGTCCAGAAGATTCGGGTGCATCACGTTGAAGTTCCAAACGTCTAACTTACAGTACAAGCCGTACAAGCCGTACAAGCCCATGTCGAGCTGTGTGACACCTTTGTCGAGCTGTTTGGCAACTTTGTCCATTCGATCGATACCAACCTGATCGTTCCCAAATGCACGGCAAATGCACGCAATGTGTTTGGATAGGCCAAAGCCAGCTGTCTTCCTGAGAAAAGCACCAATTCATGCAGCAGAGACTGCTTCGGCATTGTGCCAGCTAGCGATGGAACCTCATCTGATAAAGCAACCTGGTCCTTTGTGAGCTCAAGTGAGGAATGTAGAATTCTCTGCTAGCTCGACGGCCTGCAAAAACCATCTCTTCCACCAACTAAGAAAGTGGCTGAGCTTCCTGAAGCCCCTCCAGACCTGGCAAAAGCTGCGAGCTGCAAAGAACCAACCGAAAGGATGGAAATAAGCACGAGCAAGGCTTGTGCAAAAATCATGGCCGGATTTCCCGTAGATTGAACCAGAGGTAATGACAGGGACGTCTGTTTGCAAGCTGCAAGAGCAAGGCCAAGGCCCAACGCTGAAGTAACGGCACTACCATCGCTACTAGGTTGGAGGCCATCGCTACTAGTGGTAAACAGTAGCAAAAGTAGTAGTGGTAGTTGCCGTCGTCCACGTGCGAATAGTCCTAATGGTCGGGAAGTAGGTAGTAATACGCGTGTTGCAGCAGTATAGGTAAGGAAGGGGACTTTGGTATCCCAGGACTGAGGATTTGTAGAGAGGTGCTGAAAGCAGAAGGTTTTGTAAGTTTAGTTTAGTCCATCAGGTGTTTATCGAAAAACAAATCGACCTTGCAAAGAGTATGTCAAGCTTCTCTCGACCTCGGACAAGAAAAAAACCTAATAGTCTAATTGAACCCGAGCTATGGCAGTTTTCTGCGGCCGGATGCTACGACAGTAGCTTCCTGTCGCTTACTGACACCAAGCTACCTGTCCTACTTCACAGCCTATCCCACAAGAACAAAGAGAAAAGAATTACTTAAAAGAATAGTAACAATAATGAATGATAATATTAACTTCAATAACATATTCAAACAGCGTCCAATGTTATCAAAGTCGTAGCGTTCTGGAAGACATTCCAGACCTCTTGATGCAGACCACCTTGTGCATCAAAAAGACCAAGTCAACAAGATTCAACAAGTCTATATAGTAAACAATTGGTCCCTTTGTTTAAATAGTTCATATTAATGTTTGTCTTCTATTTTACTCAGGTCTCTTCCTCGGCTTGTGTGACTTCATACTTCATAAACAAGCCAGCATGACGGCACGTATCCGGAAGGACCCTCAAATTGCAAGCCTCCATCCTACGAGCACCAAAACACGATGCCTTAAATTCTCGGATGCAGGAAAGAACCTTAAAATCATGACACCAAGTCACGGCACCAAGGTGAATACAAATACCTAACCTTTTCTTTGATTCTAATTGCGATGGCCTCCAACCTACTAGAATGCAAATGATTTGAAAAACATCTTGTGTCTCACCTGCCTCACTGCTGCAGGAGTCCAACTTGTTCATGCGATACCTATGGTGCTTCGCGGCACACGGAAAATATTGCACTGCAGGGATCTGCAGGGAAGAACATGTTCTTGATGTTGCATCTGCCAGGCGCACTTCCACTCAGGAAACTTGAAGTCAGGACCCAAGTCTTGCATCAAGGCTTTCATCTCAGGCCTGAGAAGGGCAGAAAGAAGCTTCGCGACACATCCGGACTTGCCTTTTCAGATTGAACAATTTTGGTGTCCCTAGACAAAGAGTGATTACAATATGTCTGCAAAGTTCAAGAAAAGCTGAGGTAAAAGCTTTAGATTGCCCCCAAGCATTTTCTTTACCCTCTCCTCCATGACGGTGCCCATGCCTTCGGCCACGCCAAAGACACGGCGGTAAGGGGTGTCAAGTAAATGTTGTCGACAACATGTTTCAGCGGAGGAAACTTCCAGAAAGATCTGTAGCAAAAAATCTTGAGATAGTGTGCAATCTGACGATGTGAAATGATGTGGATTCAGCTGTGGTGATGTGCAGTTTGGTAATTTCGTGTGATGTGTGATGAGGTGCCATGTCGTCAGGTAGTGATCTGCGATGTCCTGCTGATGTGGGAAGTGTCATGTGGTTACTTGTCATTGGTTGTTGTGGCTTCATGTGTTAATGTGGCACCATGAACCACGTCCATCCGGCAGGTCAGCATCTCTAGTCCGATTGCGCACCTGTTGCGAGAAATCTCTCCCACGAGACGCATTTATAATCAGCTTTGAACCCCTGAAGTGCAAATACGGCTCAATCCCTGCAAACCCAAGCACTTACAAATTCTAGTCACTAGCCATATGCATCCTAATCACACACACATTAAGTTTCTGTGTATTCTATATTGTTGCTGTTCTGCAGATTGGACGCTTTCCATCTGAACTTCCTTCAACTAGCAGCATACTCAATGAATGGCCACAGCGAAAGAAGATATGAGTTGCTTCAAATTATTCATCTTTAAACGGCACGTAGATTCTTAGAGATGACAGCAAATACAGCAAGTGCTCAAGAAAAGTGGTGGTAAAACACACCTGCCTGCCAGCCACCCGTGACTGCTCTGTGAATTTTTTCTTTGAGCCACGAATCTCAACAAATTGAATGGGCTCTTCTCAAGAGAAACACAAGAGTCACAAGAGACCAGAAAATTCAAGAAATCTTGTGCCAGCTCAATTGAGTTTGAAGACATATTGGTCTGTTCCTTGCCAATAACCTGCCAAAAGACCGTGCTTCTGCACACGTCGGCATCCAGTGGACAAAAGCATCTCGCAACAGCTGCCCGGTGAGATCAGTCAATGATGATTGAGATCAGTTTTTTCTGGAATCATGCAGCGCCAAAAAATTTCAATGCGGCTGTACAGGAATCTCGCGAAAGAGCAGAACTTCTCTTCCGTCCAATGCATGCGCACTCCACGCGCAACGCAAGTCTCACAGCCAACAAAAGCAAGTCTCTACAGTCGGAAAACGGAGAGTTCGCTCAACTGAGCGCAACCCCATCTACACGGGATACGGCTTTACGTATGACTGTACGTATCTGTATGTACAAGTACAAATAGTACAACAAAACATCAAATTCTAAACAAGTTGGTGCACCTCACAATCACTAAGGCCATCAAACTCACAATCGATGCAACCGATCAGCCAGGCTGGTGGAGCTTCATCGGGACGACTGCGACGGGAGCGTCCGCTTCGACGGCGAATCGTCCCTCCGACTCCGAGCTTCGCGTCGGACCTCCAGCCCGAAGCGGACACCGTCGGAGTGCTCACGGCGGCTTGGAACCACCTCGGCCAAGGAGAGAGGCCAGTAGCGTCCTTGCTACTAGTAGTAAGGCCAGGAGCCCCTAGTAGCGTCCTTGCTCCTAGTAGCGATGCCCTTTGTTACTAGTAGCGTCCTTGCTCCTGGGAATAGCAATGGCCTCCTAGTAGCGTCCTTGCTCCTAGTAGCGATAGTGGCTATGCGGCTATGCCTTCTGTTTTGTGATGTCTTTCGTTTTTGGTGTTGTTTCTTTTTTGTGGACTTTGTTTGTCAAGGTCATGCATTATGACGTCCGTTGACATGGTGGCGGCACAAACCGATGCGCAACAAACCGGAACTGTCCAAACTCGGAAGAGGTTGAACCGCACTGTTTGCAAACCCACCGCCATTGTCTGTGAACAAAGCACGCGGGAACAAAGAAGTATCATTCACGATTGCATCACTGTTCAGCTACTGTACAGGAAGGTTGAACAGCCAAAGCTGGGATTTGATCGTTTCTCAATGGAGCATTGTTGAGGCAGGGGGTATCCTGTTGCATCACACATCTCCCGGATTCTTGGATACAGTACATGATAGAGCACAGTATTCCTCTTTTGTACTCGCAAACCTCCAATCAGCAGTCTTGCATGCAACGCGTTATACGTGTATTTAGCTTTAGTGAGAATTTAATCAAATCCCCGATGCGTTTCTTGGGAGTTGCTTTGAGGAATCAAACAGTGGGGTCGAAGTCAGATCAGGGGCTGGAAACTGAGCATCATGGCGACCTTGCAAATCCCAAATATGCAGTAGTAGCTGCTAACAGCGGCCCATGCAAGGAGAAAGCCGAGCATTGTGACCAATGCTAAGGATTGCCAGGGCACTGTGCAAGCCTCTGGCGCCAGGGCAATGTTTGCATTCCTCCAAAGCCACAGGCAGCGGCATGGCCACATAAAGGACCACTGCAACTAGCATGCAGCCTGCTGCAAGTGTGCAGAAAACAAAGTCCAGCAAGCGGTCTCTCACCAGAATGCTGGACATGCCTGCTGCCAGAAAGGCGATGTCCACCAGAAGCAAATAAATCTTCAGGCACCTACGGCATAGTGCAGCCTCCTCAAAAATGTCATGTTCAAAGAAAAGGATCTGAGTAGCTTCTACACGCACCAATGCTAAGCTACCCTTAGTAAACCATGCATCAATAAAAAAGCTATTTGTTGCCGGCCGGAAATTTGCAATACTATACTGTACTTTTAACTGCTCCAACATTCAGACCCCAAAATTGATTTAAAACAAAAAAACATATATCAATCGTAAGCAAACGCAAGCAGAATGAAAGCAAATGCAAGCAGAATGCAAGCAGAATGAAAGAACTAGTACTATCCCCTCTGCCAGATGGCCTGGAGGAGTTTATTATTGAGGTTGGGATTTTGACTACCCCGAAAAAAGAAAAAATCATCGGGGGTGGGGGGGTTATTAATGCGAGGTTAACATTACACGCGCTACCTGTCAATAGACAGCTGCATCTAGATCCTGAAAACCGGCTGTCCTGACTTGCTGACTCCAATAGACGAAAGGTCTGCCCCACTCGCCGGTGCTCCAACAGCATCAACACCAAAGCAGATATTGTGAGCCCCGGGATGAACGAATGCCACCGTAGCATGGCAAGGTCCAAAAGGCAAACCATTGTCGTTAAGATCCGCACATTTCGCAACGCTTGCTCCTTCATCGCTCCCTTTTTTCTCTTAGACTGGCGTCTGAAATGGCTACGCAGGTCGGATCGGCAGCTTCTTGGTCGTTCCGGATCCTTCCAAACAATGGTCTCAAACTGCCATGTCTCGAATGCAAAAACTGGTGTTCCGATAGGTCCATTCTTTTCGCAAGGCCTGCGGCTAGCTTTCTCTGGGTTTCTAAGTGCACTCTGCAGGCAAGTCAGCATCTGCATTTGGTGTTGCAATACACCAGGCATCAATTTGAATTTGCAGGTCTCTTCGGACATGCTTGCAACACCAAAAGGAGATGCTGCTCAGGCCAAAGGGCAAAGTCGCAGATTTTCCGTCTTGATCCTGAGTCAAAAGCGCTGGAGAGGGAGGTCGGCCGTAACATCGTATAGGATCCACACTGGATACGCGTGTCTGACATCTGTACAGTGTACCTGATTCAGGAAGGACAAGGTACACTGTTTCATGATGCTGACATGAGGCATTGAGGGGACGTGCAAGGCAAACGAAAAGAAGGCTTTTCGCTGTCACCACACGGTTGAAACGTTGATGCACGTTCGCCCACTACTTGTGTAGACTTATACGTCTTTCAAACAACGGCAAGTGTACCTCTGCTTGGCCTCATCAAAATCGAGCACCTTCACACTACGCCGAAGAAAGCAAAACAAAATGGAGGGCTGAGCAAAAGTACACGACTAGTACTAGTAGGAGCAAGAAGCTACTAGGAGCAAAGGGCATCGCTACTAGGAGCAAGGACGCTACTAGGGGCTCCTGGCCTTACTACTAGGACTAGGAATCCCTCACCTTTCCATTCCGCTCGTTCAGGTCCTTCTTTGCTTGCAAACCTTGCACCTGACTTCGCGGCATGGCATGTCGGGATGCGTTGGCCCCAAACAGATTCTCTTTTGAAGCAAATCCCAAAAAAGGTACGGTATTTGGGCATTTGAAAGAGGCCCGGTCACCCTTCTTTAGATCTTTCTTTTAACCAACGGAAGTTGAACAACTCAGTCTGGAAAGTCGTTGAAGTTTGTCGCAAAACCGTCGCAAAGTCGCAAAGTCGCTGAAGTTTGTCCCAGAAGCTAGTAGAAACAAGTGCATCGCTACTAGTAACAAGTGCCACGCTACTAGTAACAAGTGCCTTACTAGTAGTAACAAGAAACTACTAATAAGGAAGAAAGAGAGCCATGGCCTCCAACCTACTAGCGATGGCCTCCAATCTAAGAGCCCTAGTCAAGAGTTTAAGACGGAAGACAAACGGTCTATGCATAGATTGGCTGTTGAAAGTAACCCCCTTTGCTGAGTATCAAGCCGCGACAACTGCTCCCTCTTTGAGGCGCACTTGGTCAGGTTCCAAACGGCACTTCACCTGGCATGTTTTAGGTGAAGCTTTTGGGCCAAACCATTTCTCATACAAGACCCTAGCCCTGTAAGCAATGCTCTTGTTGGTAGTGGGGGTTCTGGCAAAGACCGGCGGGATACCAGCGCCGATGCAAAAAAGAAGGGCGTCCTGTTCCTAGTCACCCAGTGGTAATGAAGGCCAGGACCAGAGTTCAAGCAGCAAAGCATTATATAGAATATTATTAGAAAAGAAAAGAATGCAAAAAGAGATGGAAAAAGAACGGAGCCTAAGCAAAGGGAAGGGCATTACCTTCCTTTTCTCGGATGATTTTTTTTTTGATGGCCCGTGTCAAATGAAAGGTCCTTCTTCAAAAGCAGCGTCTGTTCCTCACATCTTTATGGGTCGCTTATAACCTGCAACTCACCGGCCCCTGGTTGCATTCAGTGCTATACCGGGTTTGAGGTACTTGGCAACCTACTCTGGAGCATGTCCTGGGAGAATGTGTAACGACACTTCTGGGCATCGTCTGAAGTGCCACCTGGTTAGGCTGCCAGAGATCTTTACTTGCAAAGCCAGTATATAAACAAACTGCTGGCTTTGCAATCTTGGGTTCTTCTCTAGATCTTGTCAAAGACCTTCCCTACACGTCGCAAAAACCCATGTATCCTCTGCATGGTCCTGGACAATCTCATCCTCAGCTTGTTTCGCTCTTCATGAATCTAGCAAAAGCCTGACATCCAAGTTTTAAAGACATGCGCCAATAAAATGGATAAGATTGCCCAGGAACGTGCGGAAGATACATGGTGCGACGGATGGTCTTCGAGAAAATCCAAAGAAGCAACAGATTCATGGAATTGACAGCCTGTCAGATGTCACCATTTTGTTGGGAACCGGGTGTCAAAACCACTTCTTTTCACCATCCCATAACTGTTTGCAAAAGGGATCTCCATTGGGCTCACCGAAAGTCAAAAAGCATGGGCACCCTTTGGTGGTATTGTGTGTACTTCTCAAGCGCAACAATCCATGCTAGCTGAACTAGACTAACTCTTTGAGTCACCCATACTGGCCACGTAGGTGGCCGTGGTCACGACGGTCGCGAAACACGGGAAATCACACAAAATCACCACAGATTCCGAACATCGTCACACATCTTCTTAAAGACAATGTTCTTTCTTTTAGCCTGCTCTGCCCCTCTACTACTCAATTAAGTAGGCGCCTACTTAGTTACGGGCTAAGTAAGCTACTAGCTACTGGACGCAGGATAGCTCACGCTCTTCATTTGGTTGTTCCTCGATGCTTTTTTTTTGCCAAAAAGAACCTGCTGGTTTGCCTTCTCGGGAAGGTCAGGTAGAGCGCATAGCAAATCACCTGTTGCCTTGCCAAGCAGAACAGGAAGGCACTCTGTGACGCACACAGCTGTGGTGAAAGCAGGAATGAGACACAACCATGACAGCAACCATAACACAACATAAAGGGACTGCCTCATCAAAATCAACCAGATCAGCTTCTTCCCACCTTTTGGCCAATAGCAGTTGAAGTGATTGAAGTCATGTACACTCTTTTGAATTCAGGTCTTAGTCTTAGTCTGTCACTTCGAAGTAGTTTCCTCAGCGTCAACACTTCTGCGGACCTCGCTGAGCAGCGGATTCCATCTAAGACCTTGAAGGATTTTCTCACGCGCCTGGAGCTTGAGGAGCTGCAACCTCAAGCGCTTCAAATCAAGAGCTATACAGTATTAGACTTTTTTTCCTTTTGTTTTTCCTCTGTTTCTAATAGCGACGGCCTCCAACCTAGTAGTGATGGCCTCAAACCTAATAGCGATGGCCTCCACCCTGATAGCAATGCCTCCAACCTATATAATAGCGATGGCCTCCAACCTAAAGCGATGGCCTTCAACCTAATAGCTATCTTTCAGTTCAAACTCAACTCCGTTGCATTCTTGGACAAAAAGTGCCTTCTTGCTACGTACATTCGAAACCGCAAACCTAAGCGCCTTTGGCCTTCGGTCCAATTTTCTCTCCTGTTAACTTTGGAATGGCTTGACGTACTTCGAACCACCTGGGAACCGCGCAGATTCGCAGCCTTCAGTGACAATGACCTGCTCTCTTCTGCATTGAACCCAGAGACTTAAAAGGAAACAAACACCAACCATAATGTGGTCTTAGTCTTATGGACAAAGTGTCTTGTATTCATGCGTGCTCAATAAGGCTCAATGTGTCATTTCGCACAAGAAACATATGCCCTGCAAGGCCAATATTTCTAATTTGTAATTTAATTCAATTCTAATTTGTTTCAATTCTAATTTGTTACTACTAGTAAGGCACTTGTTTCTAATAGCTTCTTGTTACTACTAGTAAGGTATTTGTTACTAGTAGCATTGCACTTGTTTCTACTAGCTTCTTGCTACATGAAATGAGGTTTCCTCGCTCATTTCAGCGTTCTCTGTCAAAGCAAGGCCTTTCACCAACATTGACCACATAGCGGTCGGATTCTTGCCTCTTTTCAAGCAAAGCTTGGCAAACAAACAGTCGTTCGCCCGGCACAAATCTGCTTTCTATCTGTGTGCCAAGGTCAAAGCCGCTGAACAACACCTTCCAAACCATTGTTCTCTGGCCTGGGTTTGTGCCAAAGGAAAGAAACATAGAGGATTGAATCTGCATTGTGCAGGCCCAACAATGATCTTTTGAGATGTGTCTGTCAAACGACTCCACCGAGACGACCGAGATTCGCTCTTGCTCTGCAGTCCACGGATTCGTACTGGTGTGCCGGACCTCAAGGCGCAGGCAGAGCAGAAATGCAGCACCATGCGAGGAGCCAACATGGCCATGCGGCATATGTTTTCTCATATGTTTATCAAAGAAAAGGGAGGGAGTGTTGCGGCACAATGAGAGACTAGCAGAAGGCAAGATAGTTACGTACTGGGACGCAGATGGGCGAAGGGTCTTTGAGGGGAAGCTTCCTTGAAGAGCCCTTCGCATGATTGATTTTGCTCCTAGTAGCGATGCCCTTTGTTCCTAGTAGCTTCTTGCTCCTAGTCTCCTAGTAGTAAGGCCAGCAGCCCCTAGTAGCGTCTTTGTTCCTAGATTATCCTAGACTTCTAGGGGAAAACTTAACAAATGTGCTTTGAAGAAGCTTAGCACCTCACACAAAGTCCTCTTTCTGCTAGAAGAGATGTGTCCAGGAGTCAGCCAGACCGCTTCCAAAACGTATGTGTTTGGTGCTTCAGCACTTGATTTTCCAGCCAAAGTCAAAAGACTGCCCAGTGTGCCTGCCTACTAGCCAGGATAGCAGTGAATGGCTTGCTGAAGTTTTCGCTACACGACTTGAACGGTGTCCGTTTTGAAGCTGAGAAGAACATGCTAAGTTTCCCAAGAAATCTAGGAACCAAATCATTAGTGCGACCGCTTCTTCAAGGAAGCTCTTCCCTTGAAGAAGCGTGACCAATCCTGCGTCCAGGTACATTTCTGTGACTAGTCGCCCTTACTTAATTAAGTAGGCGCTTACTTAATTAAGGAGGCAGGGCTGCACGGCTAATTTTTTAAAAAATGCTTTGTGCAATGGAATAGTAACGAATCACAAAGTTGGTCATGGTCCACAAGCTTTCGATGTATGCGTCTATCTACTTGGCTGTGCTGCAGATTTCACAGAAGTTCAAGCTTTGTTGCAGAA